GGCTGGTTGAATGGCTCATGTGGTAGAGTACCTGTCTAGCAAGTGTGAGGCCCTGAGTTCAAACTCCAGTACTACACACACACATACACATACACACACACACACAAAAGTAAAACTCCTGCAATATCAAAACAAGTTACCTTCCTCCAATAAGCCAGGGTGGGACAAGATATACATTCCCATTCCAAAGTGGGGGAACAGAAAGAAGTAATTGGCAGGGTGCCTGTGGCTCATGCCTGTAATCCCAAACTACTAAGGAGGCATCAATCTGGAGGATCATGGTTCAAAGCAAACCCCGGGCAAATAGTTCACCAGACCCTATTTCAAAAAAACCCATCACAGAAAAGGGCTGGTGGAGTGGCTCAAGGTGTAGACCCTGAGTTCATACTCCAGTACTGCAAAAAAAAGAAAGAAAGAAAGAAGTGACTGACCCAACACAAGTCCAAAAGGCAGCAGGGCAGATGTGATCTTCAAGCCCCATGTCCAGCAACCTTGCACACTGGGGTGGAGCACAGGGCTGCTCACTTGGTCCCTCTACAGCTTTGCTGGACTCAGACCCTACTTTAGCTCTCTCAGTCTGGGTCATGACTATAGCTCTCCCAGGCTGATGTTCACGCTGAGGCTCTGTAGTTCTTGGAGTCTCAGTAGCTCACACCAGGTGGGAGTTCTCTGAGGTTGCTCTGCCCCTGAGCCAGGCCTTTCCTTTGAAATCTCAGTGAAAGCCACCATGATCACATAGCTTTTACATTCCACATGCTTGTGGAACCAGCACCATGTGCTATCACTGAGGTCTACCACTTGCTCCCTTCAGCAGCTGCACAGAGCCACATCAGAGCACATTTGAGCCATGGCTAGAGCAGACACAGAGCACTGTGCTGGGATGCAGGGAGCAGAGGCCCAAGACAGCCTTGGTCTGTGATTCCATGGAGAAGATGCTAATCCTATTTCCCAAAACCATTGCGCTCTCCTAGGCCTTTGGGCCTGTGATGGGACAGGTGGCCTTGCAGATTCCCCATGTGCTCGTAGGGCTCTTTTCCATTATGCTGATGTCCGGGCTCCATGCATCCATCCTAACCTCCTTTGCAAGCGATCACTGTGTTACACCCTTGGTTTTCTCTCCTGAGCACACTTTTTCCCTTTTTGCTTTTAACACAATCAGGCTGTGAAGTCTTTCCACTCTGTTTTCATTTGCACTCAAATTGCATTGGAAGTGGCCAAAACCAAACTTGCAGCAGCCTGAATGCTTTGCTATTTAGATAGTTCTATAGATTCTGTACTCTTAAATTCAGCCTTCCATAGAGCCCTAGAGCGTGAACACAGGTAGCCAAGTTCCATGCTACTGTGTAACCAGGATGGCCTGGCCCACAATCTCCAAGAAGATATTCTTTGTTTCCATTCATTTTAGATCTCATCAACCCACCACCAAAACTGCCCAAAGATTTATCAGCATTCAGTTCACAACTACTCAACCTCTAAATGCCAAACTTTCTCTAGTTTTTTTTTTTTTTTTTTTTTGTCCTTTGGAGTCTTCAGGAGAAATGCCTGAATTCTCCATTCATGGCAATTCACTTCAAGTCTATTTTAGTCTCTGTTGATTACCTAGTTCCAAAGCCACTTCCATGTTCTCAGGGATGCGTTATGACCAACAGCCCCAGCCCCACTTCTTAGTACCAGTTTCCTGTCTTTGTCCTTTTTCTTTTACTAACACTGAACATCTGACATTGGGTCATTTTAAAGAGAAGAAGTTTATTCCCCTAATCTTGGAGGATGGGAGGTTCAAGAGCACGGTGCCAGAATCTTCTTGGCATCTGGGGAGGGCCTTCCTGGTGGGCTGAGGGATGGCTAAGGGCTTCATATGGCAGAAAAGAGTAAGCTTGCTGGCTTGCATATCCCTTCCTCTTTTTTAGGTACTGGAGTTTGAACTCAGGGCTTACACGTTGAGCCACTCCACCGGCCCTTTTTGTATTGAGTTTTTTTGAGATAGAGTCTCTCGAACTATTTACCCAGGCTGGCTTTGAACCACAACCCTCCTGATCTCTACCTTCTAGTAACTAGATTACAGGTGTGAGCCACCAGCTAGTTTCTTTCTCTTCTTATAAAATCCACTAATGCAATCATGGAGACACCACCCTCATGACCTCAGTTAATCATAATTATTCCCAAAGACTCACCTGCAAATACCATTAACATAAGACTTTGGGAATTAAGTTTCAGAGAAGACAAACTAATCATAGTATAACACAAACAGACTGAGCTAAGTGGCAGCCATCAGCATTTGTTCTAACTCCTCAATCCCAAAACGTAGCACTAGTAAAGTTAACTTAGCTTCAATTCAGCCAACTATCAATATCGGGGTATTAGACCATGGAGAGGGAAAATAAGGGACTGGGCCAGTGCCTTGAAGAGAGCACTCAAACCCTTTGAGTTTCTAATTCAATAGGTCTGGGCAGGGTCAGGGAAAATGCTTTTTAGCAAGCTCCCATGGGATGGCAATGCTTAGAACTGCACTGGTGACCTGACCCTCCCGTAAGGAATACCACAAACTGGGTGACTTATAAACAACAGGGATTTATTTCTTACAGTCCTGGAGGCTAAGAAATCCGAGCTCAAGGTACTGGCAGACTTGGTGTCTGGTGAGGACCTACTTTGCTTCCTGGCTCATAGACTTGTTTTTTATCTGTAGCTTCACATGGTAGGAGGAGAAAGAGATCTCTCTGGGGTCTTTTTACAAGGGTACTAATCCCACCCCTGAGGGTTTTTCCCTCATGACCTACTTACTTCTCAAAGGCCTCACTAAGTCCCCGTGTGGTCATGAGCAAGACACTTAACTCTCTGAGCCTCTGTACCCTAATCTGTAAAGCATTCTAGAAACATCTATCTTATAGGAAGAACATGAAAAAGCACCTGTAATTCATATACCAAATTCAGGTACTATTTTTTTTTTCTTCCTCCTCTGTACTGTCATAGTGTGTTAGAGACATTTTAAGTTAATTCTTATGCTTTCTGGGTATGTGTCTCCATCAAGCTGGGAGCCCCGAACTCCAGATAAGATCCTGTGAGATTTGGCTCTCACCTTGGCACCTACCCAAATTCCAGGTACATGATTCATACTCAAAAAACGTGTGGATGGTATAATCTCAGGCAAGGCCATGTAACAGGTGTAATGAGTGGCTGCAGCTACCACTGCTCTGGCTTTCCCCAGTGCTGTGCTTACTCTTTCCCTAGTCTAGACTGCTACTGCCCCATCCTGATCAACACCCCTTCCACTTGCCTGACCCCACTTCTGGCTGTAGAAAATCTAGCTGCTCTTCAGGTTCAAGGACCTGAATACCAAATTAAAATAATCAGCTCTGGAGTCAAACTCTGCCTTTATTACTGTCTAGTTAAGACCTCAAATCATTTCTGTAATCTCACTAGCCTTCATTTCCGTGGTGGGTAAATTGGGCAGAAAAGTACCTACACTTCAGTTTTGATATAAGATTTATATAATGTACACAGGACACAGAATGTATGAAGAATCCAGACATACAGCAGATATGAATAAATGTCTTAAAACTAGCCATGTCTGGTCTCCAGAGGTCACTCTCTTGGGACTTCCTTTGGCAAGGTTTCTCCTAATTGCTCTGGGAAATTTTCTACTGTGCAACAAAATGCATTCTTTTAGAGATAACCTCTCCTAGGCTATACTTTGTTTCGACCAGTCCTTTAGCAAACATTTACTGAGCATTTACTACTTGCCAAGCTCTGTCCTAGAAGCTGGAGACACAAAGATTAGAGAAGTCCTCTGACCCCAAGATCTTTATAGTCTCATGGGAGCCCACTTCCCTTGGAACCTTTCCTTGACTCAACTGAGCCCCTAGTCTGACTGACTTCTGCAGCTCAGTTGCCCCAACTCTGAACTTCCACATTGTGCTAGTCCCTTTTCCTAATTCAACAACCCTATGAGGTAAGTACTGTCTGCACTCCCGTTTTACAGATGAGTAAACTGAGGCACAGAGATTTAGTAACTGGCTAAAGGTTTTTTGTTAGTTTTTTTGTTTTTGTTTTTGTTTTTTGTAGTACTGGGGTTTGAACTCAGCTCCACATTTGCTAGGCAGGCCCTCTACCACTTAAGCCACACCCCCACCCCTAGATCTTCTAATTTCTAAGTATAGGAAGCCAGGATTTGAAAACACACATTTAGGTTTCATCTTAAGATGCTTTATTTGTCTCTTCCACTGTCTGTGCCTTGTTCAAACAAATATCTCCTGAGCCTAACCCAATTCCTGGCATAATAGGTCATCAATAATTGCTTCATCAAACGAAACGAAGGAAGGCAGAAAAGAAAGCAGCTTAGAATTCCACAATGGTTTTGTTGTTTTGTTTTGTTATGTAGCTATGTAGCCGAGGCTGACCTCCAACTCACGAGCGTCTTGGCTGAGCCTCCCGAGAACAGGCTCCACGCTGGTTTGATCATCCACATGCACTAAGCGTCCACATCGGGCGAGCGCGTGAGAAGGAGCCAAGAATCCATCAACATCCCCGCATGCTCAGCGTCTAGACTTCCCAGGCGGCCGCTGTGTCCCCCACCACCGCTTCTCTGACCGTTTCCCTTTCCCTCGGAACCTCTGCTCCACCTCTTCCATTTCCCTCGCCATCCACTCCGGAGATCCACCCTCCGGGATTCCCGACCGCCAGCCGCCGGCCAGGACCAGAGCTTGGGAAGCGCTCGGCCGCTGGTGGCGCGCATGCGCAGATGGGCGGCGCACTGCGCATGCGGGAAGATGGCGGGCTCGGCGTCCTGAGCGCGGCGGGTCACCCTCGTCCCCTCGCGCCTGCCCTCGGGAGCGCTCGGGCTCGGCTGGCCGCGGCGCGTCGGTCTGCGGACGGGGCGGCCTAGCCGGGCGGCGTCCCCAAGCAGACCGCGGACCCGCTCGGTGCCGGGCGCCGGGAGGGTGTGGGAGGGGGCGGCGCTCGAGCGGGTCGGAGAAGGCGGGAGAGCCCGCGGGGCGCGAGGGGCACGGGCCGCCCGCTCGGCAGCATGAGTCAGCAGCGGCCGGCGCGTAGACTGCCCAGCCTTCTCGTGGACCCGGCGGAAGAGACCGTCCGCCGCCGCTGCCGGGACCCCATCAACGTGGAGAGCCTGCTGGTGAGCGCGGGGCCGGACGGACGGGCGGGGGTCCCTCCTCTCGCCGGTGACCGTCGCCGGGCCGGCTGCGGCCGTCACGTGCCGCGAGCTCGCCTCTCCCGCCTTCTGGCCGCACTTGCGGGAGGACGCCTGCCCGGCTCCGCCCTGGCTGCAGACCCCGGGGTCCCCCTGCATCTACCGTGTGTTCTCGTCTGCCTGCTCCCCGTTCTCCTGCAGAATTGCAGCCGTTTGAAACCTGGCAGGGCCCCATTGCACAAAGTGTCACTTGCCCTGTTTGACAGAGAGGAGAGAAAAGGAATAATTTCTCTACTCCCGTCTAAATGCTGTGTTCTCGTGGTTCCCAGGGCCCTGGATGAAGCCATCCTTTTCCAGCTGCACCCATGTCTCTCAGCTTCTCTGCTAGTTTCTAGTAATAACTAAGTCACTGACAAGTCACGGTGCCCAGTTCCCATACCAACTAGTTTAGAGCATTATCTCATTAAGCCCTCACAGCAGCCCCGAGAAACTGTTACTCTCGTTTTGCAGTGGTCAGGACAGATTGGGAGAAGTTAAGTGGTTTGCCCGTTGGTAGTGAAGCCCGAATGAACCTCAGAGTGTGTCTTCAGTTGATAAATTCCTGACTACTCAAATTACATTCATCTTCTCCAGTTTTGTATGCCGTCCCTTTTACTGTGTGTCTTCCCCTTGGCAGCCAGACTTCTGGGAATAATTGTGCCCACTCTGTGCATTTGTTACCACCCAACTCTCTGCTGGGGATCTATGTTTGTAAGGCTGTTCTAAACAAGGTCACCATCAGTCTTGCCAAGTCTAGCAGCAGTTTCCACCCTTGACCTTCGGGAGTGTGAACTTGACTGGCTGCTCTTGCTGGAAGCTGTCTCCACTGAGTCTTGGACACCACCTATTCTGGGTGCTCCACCTACATCTGATCTTGTCTTGTCCTCCTCTTCCTGTCCCCCCTTCCTGTCCCCAACATGTTGGTGTTATTTAGGGTTCTCTTCTACCTGCTGTGCATTTTGTTCATGGGGGAGGCCATTCACTCACTACTCCCCTGATGTGTTACCATCTACACTGGTGACCTCTCTGTTGACACCATCTGTATTGGTAGTCTTCCTCCTGAGAAATTGATAAAAGCTCTGAATTCTCATTCTGGAAAGCCGCTGAACTTTGAGTACAGTATCAGAAGATACATCCCTTGATATCTAAGATATTCTTATCCACTCTAGTAGTTTTAGTCACCATTTTGTAATAACTCCCAAATCTGTAAATACAGCTGAGTCTTCCAACTGTCTACTAGACATCCCTATTCAGATTTCAAACTCAAATCTAATTCATTATTTTCTTGCCTAAGCAAGCAATGACTTTGCCATGTCCCATCTTAAAAGTGGTTACATACCTACCATAGTGCCCAAGCTAGTGTCCTAGGCATCATTGTTGTCTTTTCCCTTTTCCAAGCTGAAATCAATACTAGTCTCAGCAATGATTGTCTTCAGTACTTGCCTCTGCTGCCATCACCTACCTTTCAGGTTGTTCAGTGACTTCTGACCAGTCTCCTGCCTCCATTCTTGTCCCTCACTTTCCATGTGTGACCTTTGTAAAACATCGTCCTAATCTTTTAACTTGGTTCAAGCAACCATTGTGGCTCTGCAGTGCTTTCAGAGTGGGGCAGAAACTTTAAAATGATCTGGCCGTGAGTTTATCTTTCCATAGTTGCTAACTTTTCTGTGTTTCCATTCTCTGTCTTTTCCCCAAGTCATCACTTTTGCTCTTTTCTCTTTGTGGATTGACTGCAGAGCTCACACCCCATTCCACAGAAAACCTTTGTTCTACACATAGGTTTCCTTGATAACTCCTTTGGTATTTCAGGTAAAGATTTGTAGTCACTATTCTGAAGAACCTTACATCAAGACTGGGTTAGTCACCCGCTTTGTGCTCACAAAGCACTCTGTGCTTCCCTCTTTGCAGGTCCCTGAGTGCAGTGATACTGTTCAACATTTCATTGTTACATGACATGTTTGGCACCTCTCACAAAAAGATTCAGTGAATAGTTAATGAAGTAGGCACTCTAAATGTTTCCATGTGTGTTTATCATCTTGCCTGTAAAAAATGGCAATTTGGACATCTATATCAGTGTTTTTAATTGACAAATGAGTGGAAGTATTTAACAAACTGTTTTGCAAAAATCAGGAAGTGTTTCATTGTGATATGCAAATATTAACTGTGTATCTTGCTGAGTATTGTTGCCTGGATAAATGGCTTAAAAGTTGTCTGGAATTTTGAGGAAGGAAAAATAGTATTGAATGTAGGAAGAATTTAGTTGGCATATTTGAAAACAAGGAAAATTTGGATAGGTGAGGAGTGTGCAGTCATCTTGGAGAAAGGTGTATTTTCAAAGAGCTCTTGGAGGAGTATAGCTCCCTAAAATAAGGCATTGATATAGAAAGGGGTCTATATAGAAGAAGTTTTACACAACTTGGAGGCAATGCTTAGAATGTTAGTCCCTAAAATTCACCTGTTACTCTTTTTCTCCCACCTTGAAAGAAGCTTCTGAGGTCACTTTTCAAGGTTCAGGGATGGAATGCTATCCTTTGAGATCTTAAATTTAAAAGTATGGGTCTTTAGATGTGGAATTTGGAGCAGTAGTGAAATAGCTTGGAACTTGTCAAACTGTGTGTCTTGCCTGTGAGGGCTGCCAGTTGGTGGAGAGCTGTGTGCTGTGTCCCCAAGATCTCCTTAGAGATGTCCAGTTAGGCTTCGCCTTATCCATTCATGTGGCAGTTAAGGGACAGATGGGCTGTAGATACAGGACTTGTGATGCTGCAAAGGAAAAGAGAGCATTTCATATTCAGAGGGGGAAAAAATGAATGAATGGCGTTGGTGCCTGTTTTCCCACATACATCTGTATAGCCAATATGTAGTGGATGTGCATTTATAGCAGAGTGTGGGGAAAAGAAAGCCATCCTTTCTTATGTTGTAATGCCTAATTGGGGGTATTGTCTCTATTCCATCCTATCAACAACTGCCTGCTCAGGAGACAAGGGGATGGGGAATGAAGAGCAGAAAAGATGCCCCTCCAGGATAAGTGGGTGGCAGATAGTGAGGTAGTCTGTTGGGAGCCCTGAAGTACATTGCAGGGCTTGACTGTGTTGCTATAAATTGAGAGCAGAAGTCTCTGCAGTAAGATATATGTGCATGCATGTAAAACATTTTAGGATACTTGTTTATGTGTGTTTCATATCATTCTGAGGAGGATGAGATCTCTTTTTCATTCAAGAATCTTGCTACAATAGCTCCCCCGTGTCTGTAAATGTAAAAATAGCAATGACAGTTGGTCACACTTGTCTGATGGTTGACTTTCATACGACTGCTTCACTATTCTGTTGGATATCATGTTTGCAAGTGACTCTGTGCCTGCTGTTGACTAGCCAGACACAGCCCCTACCTACCCCCCAGGACAGGCATTCCCAACTCCAGTGTTACATACCTCAGTGGGTCTACAGGCTCCTTTCAATTTGAAACTAATTTTACAGCAAGTCTATCCCAACTTGCTACTAGGCGCTATCATCTGGCCTAGGATTTGTAACCCTGATATAAAGGAAGAGCTTCTTTGCTGTTCACTGGGCTTCAGGCTGCCCCAACCCCAAGTGCTTTTGCAGTATTGCTGCCCTAGTTATTTCTAAAGCGTGAGCTTGACTATGTCGTGGTCTTGATCAGAAAACTTTGATCATTCTCCACTAGTGCTGACATAAAGTCCATAAAGACTGCTCATGGACCTGTATGTGGTGCTTGCATGACCTTCGAGCTTCAAAACCAAATGACCCTGACAAGGGCGTACAAGTGGGTTCCTAAAGAAGTTTCGGAGTGTGTATCTTCATACCTTCGTTTTATTTTCTACGCCATGAATAAGTCCTTCCTCTTCCCCCCCCCACCCCCCCAGTTTATCATAAAGGCAAAGTCTGGTTTACTATCACGGCTCACCTCAGGGATCCTTTTCCCCTATCTGGGTGCTTCACTGTCCTCATGTTGCTGAATTAGACAATTTTTCCACTTAGGTGATTGCTAACCGTGATCGTAGCCTGACTGGAGACACATGACATTGTGATGCTTAATTCTAATCATGAAGTTAGTATGGGTTTCTGTTTATACTGGTTCACCTTAAGGTCTTTATTCTTTTGCAAAAAAAAAAATGTCTAAATGTGTTGTCAGTGTTGCTTCCATTTCATGCAAACATTGACAGCCTCTAACTAAGTTGGCAAAATAGTGAGCTCTGATAATGGAGCTGCTGATTTCTTTGTCGTTTCAGGAATTTACTAGAAATTTTTATTTCTCTTATACCACGTTTCTAGTTACCTTCCACATACCTTATTTTCCATTGTAAAACACTGCTATTTTTACATTAAGGGAATGCATGGCTTACTGTGAAAGTTTGTGAGCAAACTCATCATAGCAAAGGGTCCACCAAGCTTTCCAGGATGGGGCCAGAGTCTTAGTGATCATTGTGTCCCTTTTTATCTTCAGTGTCTCATGCAGTCAAGAAGTTAATACCTATTCAGCAATAAATTCTGAGATGCATTCCAACCCTCCCCCCACTTTTCCTTTTTCTCTTTACTGCTGCCGTATTTACTGAAGCTCATGCAGTCTGAGAGGCGGAGTCCATGGAATGTTGTTAGATGTAATTATAGTGAAAGTGGATACAGTTTGGAACTGCTCCTTCCCCACACCCACAGTATCACCTCCAGGTGAAAAAAACCTTTACAGAGTGAAATGCTGTTCATTTACTGGTTGTTTTTAAATTGTTAGGGTAAATTTTTATATCTTCTTTTTTTCAGCCATCAAAAATAAGGATTAATTTAGAAGATAATGTACAATATGTGTCCATGAGAAGTAAGTTGATTCCTGAATAGTTTTTAATTTTTATAGTTTAAAGTTCATATCGTTAAATGATTTATTTTCAATGTACATGAGGCAAGGAGAACCAAAATGAAATGTACTGTTTCTACATTGAGATGTAAAATTTGAGATTTTAGTGAAAAGCCCCAGGTTGTGGGTTGAATTACATACATATATGCCCAGTTTATTCTCCACTGCTTTGGAAATGTGTCATTTTTTAAAAAAATAGCATATGATCTCATGGATCGGTATAAGCTAAAAAAAGTCATAGCTAGAAGTAGAGAATAGAATGATACTTACCAGAGGCTGGAGAGAAAGTGGATGGACGGAGCCCACGGAGATGTGGAAGCTGCAGTTAGGAGGAATTGTTTTGTGTTCTATTGCACAGCATTGTGACTGTGTTAATGGGTGTTTAAGATAGCTAAAAAGACAAGATTTTAAGTGTTCTTACCTAAAAAAATAAATATTTGAGATGATGGAGATGCCACAGGTTGTGTGTATTGGAACATCACAATGTACCCCATATGTAGATACAGTTACTAGTTATCACAATAAAATAAAAGAAACAATATGTGTTTAAGGATAGATTCCCCAAATGCCTCCCGTGAAAGAAATTACTGCCACCTGAATTGAGTCGTTGTGCAGTGAGCATGAGGACAGCCTCCTGCCCGCCTGGCTCCCTCTGATTCCCTTTACTCTTTGCTTTGATCCCTACCATGGGTGAACATGTATAGTGTCAGGATATCTTTGTGATTGATTACCCCACCCCACCTTTCCTCTTATCTTGGTCAATTTCTAGTGCATAGATGCCCAGGTATAAATCTTAACAAATATCAACCCTGGATTTTCATTCTGCCTCTGCCATAGTCTTGCCTGTAATTAGTTACCAAGTTTGGTCAGCTCTCCCTTTTAAGTGCCTTTTTCATTGTCCCATACCACCGAATTATAATGATATCTAGCATTTATTGAACTCATACATTGCCTGGCATTTTGCATGAATTGCCACAACACTTCAGAATAGAGGCATGTATTATAATCCATAGTTTATGAGTGAGTAAATGAGGCCAGGTAGTGTTGGATTCTGTGTCTCTGGCTTAAGAGCCCATAGTCTCACTATGTAAGGCTGCTGCTTCCAGTTCAGGATCTGACTGTCTGCCAGACTGAAGTGGGCTCTGCCCTACCCCACTCCCTTCCATCTTGCTGCCAGTGGGATTTTTCTAATGTAGAAATGGGATTATGATATCATTCACCATAAATTCTTCAGTGAGGCTCTGTTGCCTACAGAGAAAACCCTGAGTCCTCATATACTTGGTCTTATTTATTTATATTAAATTCATAAGCCACCTCATATCTCTAAAAGTGACAAGGCAGTAGAGAAGGGATAAAAGAACTGGAGGTGTGGCTTAAAGCAGTAGGGTGCCTGCTTTGCAAGCATGAAGCATGAGCTCAAACCTCAGTCCCACAGAGAGAGAGAAAGAGAGAAGCAGTGCAGCAGTGGTGTTTAAGCTGGTTGTGATGCTGCTTAGGGCTCAGTGGCGGCACTTCCAGTTGAGGGGAAGCTGGCTGGATATCTTTGAAGCATCCTGACTGGGTATGCTGTGGGATAAATGAGATCTATGTTCCACACCTGATTGACAACTGAAGTTACTTTAAAGGTGATTTCCTCTGTAAACCAAACCATGGAAACTTTTGTAATGTCAAATTGAAAAAAAAAATGAAAAGAACAGCATTTATCTCCCTTATATGCTAGATAAAACTGATGGCTGTCAGAGTGACTCAAGCAGTAGAGAGCCTGCCTAGCAACCTGGATAGCAGTTGGCATACATCTTACAATTCCTTAAAAGTATTCTTTTACTCAGCGATTCCACATTGAGTCTACCTTGAAGAAAGAATTAAGGGTGTATGAGATAATTTTCCAGTAAAGAGGCTCTTTAAGTTATAATGCAAAATAGTAAAATTAAGGGCAGTCTGAATTTCCATTATTAGGATAATTTCAGTAAATATTTCATGCAGTTAAATATGCAGCCAGTAAGAAAAATGAAATATATTTGTTGACATGTTACCATGTTTACAATATTAAGAGAGCATGTTATAAAATGGTATGTTTCTACTTTTGTTTTGAAAAGTAAATATTCAGAGCTGGGCTTGTTAGCCCACACCTGCAACCCCAGCACGTGGAAGGCTGAAGCAGGAGGATCACAAGTTCCAGGCCAGACTGAGACAGATAGCAAGACCTCTAAAAAACCTCTTCATACAGGATGTAGCTCAGTGGTGGAAGAGCACTTGCCTAATATGTGAAGCCCTATGTTTCATCCCCAGCACAGCAAAAATTAAAAGTGAATAAAAATGATACAATACATGCGTTTGACACACAAGTGTGTGTATGTGCATGTTGGGACTTTGTGTGTGAGAAAGCTCCAACATAGTGAGTGACTGAGGGAATTTTCCCCTTTCATATGTTTATGTTAATGATAGGGTAGTTAATATTTTAAAAAATATACCACTTTTCCAAGTGTATCATCATTGTCCTAATAGAAGACTAGTTTGGGCCCTTTCAAAAACTTTCGAACAGGGTTACACTGTGACATTGATAAAAACATTTTAAAAAATAATAAAAGCCAAGTCTGCCTTTGCTTTAACTTTGCTTATTCTTTAACTTAGGCACCGATGGAGAAATTTAATTTCACAAATCATTTATAATCTTTTTCCTAAAAGTGTATGCAAATGTAAACTTACTACTTTGATAAAAGACAGTAGACTTCTAAAAATGAATGTGTTCAGTGGAAACTGATTTCAGTTTTAAAATACTCCTTATTGAAACCTAAAGCTTTTGGTTAGGACAATAAATTTTTTATCCAGTTTAAGAAATTTATTTCATAGAAATTAGTTATGGTTTGGTCAGTATGTAGGAATTTTCGTAGGTTGTCTATGTTTTCTGATTAAGAGAAAATAAGTGTTTAAATGAATTGAGAAATGTCAATTTAAATTTTTACAAATATGTTTTTTGTTTCCCAGAAGCTCTAAAAGTGAAGAGACCTCGTTTTGATGTATCACTGGTTTATTTAACTCGAAAATTTATGGATCTTGTCAGATCTGCTCCTGGGGGCATTCTTGACTTAAACAAGGTAGCAACAAAACTGGGTGTACGAAAACGGAGAGTGTACGACATCACCAATGTCTTAGATGGAATTGAACTTGTTGAAAAAAAATCGAAGAACCACATTCGGTGGATGTAAGTTGGTTTCAGATGTTTCACTGCTTTTTTTTCCCTCCCTTTCTCACTAAGTAACAATTCCATACTTAAACCAAACTAGATACTAACAATCTTTAGCAATGTAAAACAAAGTAAGATACGATTCTTGTTAGAAAAAGGATTTTGTAGGATTTTCTTGTGTTGTTCCCAATGGACTTAAATTTTCCTTACTACTTAGGACCTAATAGGAGCATTATACATAGAATATCATTCAGATATCATAGAAAAGCTATATGGAGATGAATAGGTGAATAGTTCTAAACATTTTGCGTTCAAAGATCTTAAGAAGGGGACATCTGATTATATGAGGCTTTTTTTTTTTTAATGTATTTTCTTAGTGACATCAGAAATATCTGTTAAGGTTGAACAGTGATTCTTTACAGGACAGTGTAATAAACACCTAAGCCCTGCCCCTAGTTGTAATTCAGCAGTTCTGGGGGGGAGGCACAAATCTGTATTCTAAACAGGAGCCCCAGCTGATTGTGATGCTGGTGGGCTGTGGATCTCACTTTGTAACACACTTCCCTGACTGTAAACAAATAAATTTTAAAAAAGCTTTAATGTCCAAAAGGCATTTGCTAATAGTTGACATGATTGGGAAGGATCCTAGCGGAAAAAACAGAGCCAAAGCAGATAGGGCATGTGGATGAGTGTGTACACACAAGAGAAAAGCGGTTGCATTTAGAATAGACAAGTATTTAGGATCAGAAAGAAGCAGTTTCAGCATTTTAGTGCATAGAGGCCTTTCAAGCAAATGAAAAATCCACAGATAATAAAATGACTCTTAAGTGATTAAATATTAGAGGAAAAGGTTCATAATGGAGGCTTTTTTTTTTGATAGTACAGAATGCAGACAGTTCTGATAATGAGCATGTTCACTTTAGGGGTTCTTCTCATAGTGTTTTCTGAATCACTAATTAGGGTAAGATTTGAAAATAGCAGAGGATTACTGATACAGGGGATAGCCTTTGCCCTGTTTATTGTCCATAAATATTGAAGGGATAAAGTATGTGTCAGTTATTTTTCAGTCATATCATATTGGAGTAGCCACTAGTAATGAGGGAAAATAGGTATTTTAAGAATACTGAATGTAATGATTACATCCAGATAGAAGGTGCACAGTAAGAGAATACAGAGACACAAATTTTTACCAGAGAAACTACCATTCAGCCAACACTCCTTATTTTCATTTGCAGAATTGCAGTGATTTTGCATTCTTCTAGTGATTATTAATGATGGGGTTTTGTTGTTGTTGTTGTTTTCTTTTAAAGAGGATCTGACCTTAACAATTTTGGAGCAGTACCCCAGCAAAAGAAGCTGCAAGAGGAACTTTCTGACTTGTCAGCAATGGAAGATGCTTTGGATGAGCTAATAAAGGATTGTGCTCAGCAGTTGTTTGAGTTAACAGATGACAAAGAAAATGAAAGATATCCTTTAAGTCTATATGTTTTTAAAATGTTTGCTTCCAGAGCACATTATGTTAGTGGGTTAGCTTGGAGATTTAATTTACATATTTAAGGTATAAAATTAGACCCTTAAAAAAAATGAAAAGTTTGGTGGTATGGCCTCAGATGTACAAAAATGATACACATTTCCTGAAACTTTTTGGCACTTGGGTTAAATTCTGCATGACAACCTCAGTTATACAGTAACAAACCCAGCTTGACATTTCCAGTTTGTTGTGTTTTATAGTCTCTATACTGTAAGGATGGTAAAATATTTGTGAACTGTGTTTTCTCTTACGAAGTAGTTTATTTGTGAAACAGAATGAATTTCCACTCAAGTGGTACCTAAAATTGCTATTCCAGTCCACAGAAGCCCAGTCAGTGTCTTAGACATTATCCTGCTCTGAAGCTTACTTGTCTCAGAGGAGAAACCTGTCTCCTGTGTCCCCCAGATCTTTATGCTGCAGTGTCCTTTGCGAAGGTGTCATTGATTCTGAGCTATGTTTCCATTCTCCACACAGTTAACTCCTACTGGCACAGGACAGTTATTAGAAAGTAAAAATGAAAACTAACATTACTATAGCCAACCAAAGAGCCCAAGTACTTAAAAAAATTAAATAAATAAAGAGACTAAAGTTTCAGGCAACACAGTAAAACAAGTTGAAAAACATCCAGGTAGTGAAACAGAAAATAACTGTGGAAGATGAAAATTCATGAATATATGATAGTCTTGAGAAGCTTGGTCTCTAAGTTGTGCCTGCTTTTTGCAGCTTTTCTACCATTCATTTTTGAAGATTTTCATTGAAACTAATTTTTTTTTTTTTTTGGGTCTAAGTTCCCAAAGTAAGAGCTAACACTCAACAGGGAATAGGTGGGAATTTGAATACACTAGTCTCCCCTGTGTAGTTTTCCTTTCTGTGATTTTAGTTACCCACAATCAGCTGTGGTCTAAAAATATTAAATGGAGGATTCCAGCATTAATTCATATTTTAAATAATTTTTATTACCACATATTGTTACAGTGTCTGATACTATTTCTTAACTGTGTCTAATTTCTGAATTCAACTTTACATAGGTGTGTTTATATAGGAAAGTACATAAGATATATAGGGCTCACTACTGTGGTTTTAGGAATCCACTGAGGGTCCTGGAACATATCCCCCAAGGATAAGTGGGGACAACTGTACCTTCATGAGTTGTGTTCATTCGAGACTCAGACCTTATTAATATTTTTCTCCAGAAATTGTCATAATCACAGTAGTTCAGTTTAAAGGACTCTTAAATTTGAGTTACATACTTTATAAAACACTCTACAGTCTCAATTACATATGAAATAATAATAATGAAAATTTTTTTTTACTACTTTCCTTAATTGTGAGCTTATAAAAAAATGCTAAAGATATTCTAACACTTGTGTTTTGTATTAAAGATAAGTTACCTGCACAAAACATGGCACTCTTTAGAGATCCTTGACTGTGTTTCACACTGGCATATGTGACTTACCAGGATATTCATAGCATTCAAGCCTTCCATGAACAGATTGTTATTGCAGTTAAGGCTCCAGAGGAAACCAGACTGGATGTTCCAGCTCCCAGAGAAGTAGGTAGTCCTGCATCTTACAGAAGATTTAAAAGAGGGAGGTAGGCGAACTGCTGATGGTTTATTGCAATCACAGGAACTTCGTAGCCATTATGTAACTACCAGCTATATATCTGACATTATTGAAGGCACGTCACACATTTTAACTAGTTTTGACTAACACAACAAATGAGGTAGTCATTGCAGCCTTCTTAGAGATAAAGAAACCAAGCACAGAAAGCCAGATTTGTTTCTCAGGAGCACACAGCAAGTGACAGAACCAAAATTGAAATAGGTGTTTTGGCTTCAGAATTCATTCTCGACTGTGGTGCTATAAAGCTGCTTGGAGGAGTCACTAAAAATTGGCCTCAATCTTGAAGTTTCAAAAGATATGGTTACAGCCAAAACTTTGGGAATTAACTTACTAGCAAAACTCATAAAAGACTAATGAATGAACCAGAACACTAAGTTATGTGTTGAAAATGGAAAATAAAATCTATTTGTAAATGAAAGATTTCTTATCAGCTACCAGCTGCTCAGCACATTCTTTCCCTTGCAGGAAAGTGTGTGTTGAAAGATAATTCTCATCAGAAGGCCTCTTGGTAAGGACGGAGTCAGAACCAAGGAAGGTGGCCATTCTTGGGACAAATCAAGTCCTGACAGCCTGATAGACTCATCGGTGCTCATAGCGAGTCTTCTCCATTGCTGTAGTGAGGAGTATTCTCACCATCCTCTTTTTCTTTTATCTCCAGCAGACCCCTGTCCACGTGAGACTCATTACCTGACAGTGTCCATTAAGGGGCAGCTTGCTTTTACTCCAGATTGTGACTCATTGTTGATGTTTCCTAGTTTTACTTGGATTTAGATACATTCCAAGTAACATTGATATTTAGTCTGAGTTATTTCACAGATGTTGAAACTTTTTTTTTTTTCAAGTAACCACTAATCCTTCAGTATTTCCTTGCTTTGGAGCATGTGAATCCATTCTGCAGAAGTTCTGGGGTTTTGGTTTCCTAGTGCTCTTGGTTGCTTCAGACTGTACTTGCTAAATGTTGCTGAGCCTTTGATCACAGCTGGAGCCGCTCTTGCAGTCCTTTTAGAAGCCTATGCTTCTGGGCCCTCTTGGCCAGAGCTGTTCAGCAGGAGGCAAGAGCATGCTGAGTTCAGTGGAGTCTAACTCTGGAGAGATTGGTGAACCTAGTGCAGGGTTGGCAAAGTGGCCTTTGGTTCAGATCTGGCTCCTTGTTCTTGTAAGTAGTTTATTGGGACACAGCCACATGTCTGTCTTTTCAGATATTGCCTCTCTGCTTTCACACTGCAGTGGCAGAGTAGAGTAGTTGTGACTGACAGTGTGGCCTGCAAAGCCAGAAACATTTCCTGTCTTGCCCTTTCCAGAAGACATTTGCCAGCCCCTGATTTAATGGAATGTGAAGTCTTCAGCTGGCTGCCAACTCACAGCAGCATGCAGTTTTCTTGTATTGTTTAGAAATATCTCTTGAATGACTTACCATTTTAGCCAGACCTGACCTGGCATTTCAACAACTGAGCACAAGGGTTGTATAACCCACCTGTCTGGTACCAGGAAGCCACAACAAAGATGACATAAGGTTCAGAGACCCTCTGAGAAGCTACATCTCACTGAGCTTACATACAAGAGCCCAGGGGGAGGCAGTGGTATTTACAGTGTCTAGACTCTGAAAATAGCTGGAAAGGGGAAAGAGTTGGGTAGAGCCAAACCAGCCCCCAATGAAAAAGATGAACGAATCATAATGAGAACTGATGAGAATTTAGTGACTTTATATATTTGACACATTGTTAGAACCTGTGTAAATGCCCTAATGAACCCCACCCAGCACAGCAATAAATTAAAAATAATTAAGCATATGGCTCTTGGCCCACTTGCTCACTTTTCCCAGTTTAATTCCAAGAAGTTTCCCCTTAAAAAATAAGTAAGTCTTACCCACCTACAATTAAAAAAAAAAATTTAGTGACTTTCAGTAGAAGTACCCAATTTCCTGATTACTTAGGAGAAAAGTATTGTAATTATTTCTGAATGAATAAATCTGAAGCCAAAGGATATGGAACTCACAGTTGATAGTCCTTTGTATGCAGTTCTCTTTGTGTGTGTGTGTGTGAGTGCACACATGCGTGATAAGCTACATGAGGTATATTTTGACTTGAGCTTTTCTTCTTAGTTCTTTCAACTGAACAAATGAGCAACCTACATCTTCATTGGTCTAGAAATCCAAACAGCCTTATCATAGAGAACCTAGAATGTTCCAGAGTTCTTTGTCATCAAACCACTGTTCTTTGACTCTCAAGTCCGACCTATCGTAAAGTCACTCCTAGGGTAGAGAGAGAGAGACTCTAGAGAACTGAGGTGCTCACAGGGTGGCTCTGAAACCATCACTGCATGATGAAGCAACTGTCTTAACTAAAAATTGACTTGTAGTTTAATGTGGCTACATCTGAGAGAATCATCCTCTCAAATATGTGCTAGAAAAACTTGTGTGATTTAAATTTTCAGGATGGTCCCTTGAAACTTCTACAGTTGTAGTAATTGAAAAACTTTTTAGTGAATGTTCTTATTCATCTTGATGTCTTATGTGTCTCTTGCCAGGACTCTATAACGGTACATATAAGGAGCACCAAAGGACCCATTGATGTGTATTTGTGTGAAGTGGAAGAGAACCACTCTAATGGTAAAACATCTGATGGAGTAGGAACCTCTTTGTCTAAGAGCAAACATCCAGAATCCCCTGAGAAAGGTAAACATACCAGCTTTGTGATTAGAGAAATTTAAGATTGTAATAAGTTTTAGGTATATAATAATATGCTTAAGGTATTTTTGTGCCAGGTATGGTGGAGCACACCTATAAATCCCAGCACACTGGAGGCAAAGACAGGAGCATTGGAAGTCCAAGGATGGCTTGGACTACATAGTGAGTGACAGGCCAGCCTGGGTCACATAGACCCTATCTCAGGGGGGAAAATTTTTTTTTTTACTCTCCACAAAAACATAAGTTAAAAGGAACTTGCATAGTCATTTCTATAGTTTAGAATATTTCTAAAACTTTGTAGTGAAATCCATCTGAAAATAGCATTATAATCAGTCCTGCGGTGGTACCAGCAGGTGGTGGTCTGTGAGCTGGGAAAGCTTTCTGCATTCTCTCACAGGTGCTTTTCAGCTACAAGTATAAGTTCCCATTCATTCTTGTGAGACTGAAAACATTAATAGCCTTCTGCCATAACAAGAATGTGGGTTCTTAGCTGTCATCCTAGTTACTCAAAAAGCAGAGATAAGGAGGATCTGAGGTTCAAAGCCAGCCCTGGGAAAGTAGTTCCCAAGACTCTAACTCAAAAAAAATCATAAAAAAAGAAAGGACTGGTGGAGTGGCTCATAAAGGTAAGAGCACTGTCCTGGCAAGTGTGAGGCCCTGAGTTCAAACCCCAGTGCTGCCAAAAAAAAAGTGTGTTCTTGACCCAGGGGTCTTCATTTTTTTAAATAGTTGAGTTGCATGTTGTTACCCAGCTGCCTTTCAAGCCATCACTTAAATTTCTCTGTGTGTCCTTTTTCAGAAGAAAATCCTCAGTAAAGTGAAGAGTTGCTTGAAGTGAACAACTATGATAGCATTTGAGGAATGGATCGAGGAGTTTTGTTTTAGAACATCCTATGTGGATGGATTACGCATCATTTGATTCTTGGAGCAATAAATCATCCACGAAGTGCTCTCATGCTCACTTAGCAGCAGCATTAAGGCCAGTAGTGTCTTTGAGTAGCTCCCTACGTAGATTGCTGGATAATTATGGTTTCTGCATTCATAAACAACTCTTTCTGTAATTAGTCACTGCTTTTTATCAGTGAAATAGATATCTCGCCTCTTGAAGGAACTTTTATCACAGAGTATCTCGGAAACAGATGGTCATGCCCGGCCTGGACAGTTCTTTGTGGGCCCTTTCCTTCCCTAAAGGATTATATCATGCATTACAAAAGAAATTGCCTTACACTGGTTCACATTTGCAGTTAAAGTGTTGTGCATTGGCTAGGTGTGCACACAGATCTAAATGTGATGTCTTTGTACATATCTGTATAATGTTTAGATTACTTATGAAATGTCTTAAGTGACACGTTTCACCCTTGTACAGCCAGAATAATGTATATATGGAAAGTGACAGACAAATGCTCTAATTTCTTTGGTATCTATAACTTATTAGAATCCTCTGGATGAGGGTTAGAGGAGAGTTTTCCCAAACTTCTACATGTAGAAGTATCACGAATGTGCTATACATTTAAGTTCATTGATTCAGTTAAGTTCATTCAATTAATATGCTTCTCAGCACTAAAATTGGGATCAATACTTCTTGATTTCAAGCTGCCTATAGTTGCTGTGTCCCAGCAGACTGGTGGCATGTCCTAAGGCTTTTGAGATTAGTATAGAAATGCCATCAGGTAATGGATTAATTAATTCACTGAGACGTGAGTTCAGTCATGCTGAAATTGGAACCGTGTTAAGCTTTTTACATGCAGCTTTTGTAATGTGTTTCTGTATGCAGCCTTGCTCCTCAGTCAGAGGGGTTTTACTTACCATGAATTGTACCCTGCCCTCTCCCGTTCTAGTCCCGCCTTCCCAAGCACCTAGCTATTTCTACCTCAGTGGGTAAGTCATTTACCACTCTGTGCCTCAGTTTACTCGGTAGTTTACCATTAGACTGTGAGCTCCTTGAGAGACTTTGTCATCATCATTGTTCTATCTCAGCACCTTGTACCATGCCTAGCCCATAAAAAGTGCTCAATAAATGTCTGGTGAAACAGTGAATGATTGTAAAATGAGACTGGTACAACCTGGCTTGTCTATCAAACAGGATTCTTGTGAGCATCATTTGAACTCATTTTTTAAACTTCTTGCTTTTGAAGAAAGATTTGGAACAACTTGAAATCAAGACCATGTATAAAAAGATTTAAAATAGGGATCCAAAGTGAAAATATTAAAAAATAATTCTGAGTGTTTTGATTCACATAGTTTGAGCTCTAGCAGCTTTTGTCAGTCCTGCCCTCTACTAGACACCAGCTCCTCCCCCAGTCCCCACTGGTTTATTCTTAGATGCCTGGACCTGCTGCTAACCAGTGGTTAGCCTCCAGGCATTTCCTCCCTCTTTTATGCAAATAGTTGTAATTTGAAATCAGCCAAAGACAAGCTGCTTTCCTCACTGGATTACTTGGCATATGGGTGTGCTTTGACAAGACAGGGAATACAAGAGGAGCACCAGGTGGGATGAAAATTAAGTTTTGGACTTGCTTGATGAATGCACCCTTCTGCAGGTAACTGTCTAGAGGTCAGGTGCTCCTGGAGAGCTTTGCACTTTAAAGGGTAGATTTGGCACATGACAGATAGGTGATATGAGGGTAGATGAGGTCATCTTAATGAACTACAGCAGAAGAGGAGAGGCCCAAGAACAGCTTTGTTTAGGGGGATGGAGAAGAAGGAGCCTCTCTTGAGAAGGAGTAATGAAAGGAGAAAAACTAAAAGAAGTTAGTGTCCCCAAAACCAAGGAAACATTGCCAAAGGTGAGCAGCAATTCCTGACTTGTGATATGTGACGAATGTTCTGCTTTGCACGTTGTTCTTAGGGTAAAATGAAATTTTGTCAGCTAAAACCCTTTGTAAGTTGTAAATGTGTTATAAATGCAGTATCTCCTTCACTACATCTTCTGGATGTTTGGCCTCTTGTTTTTAGAATTGATAAAATAAATGTCTAGTGAACTAGTTTCCCAGCCCTTCCTCCTCACTGCACCACTCTCCATGTATACACTACTGACTTCTGGTGACTGGGGTAACTCTCTAAAGAGTTCTGAAGAAGGCTGAGTACAGTGACTCACACTTGTATACTCAGGAGACCAAGATCAGGAAAATTGCACTTTAAGGTTGGCCCTGGCAAAAAGTTAGTGAGATCCATCTCAATTGATAAGCCAGATGTGATGGCATGCTTCTGTTATCCCAGCTATGCAGGAAGACATAGGAGGATCAGGGTTGGAGTCTGACCCAGTCAAAAATTCTAGTCCTTACCTGAAAAATAATTAAAGCAAAAAGTTGCTAGGCGCTGGTGGCTCACACCTGCGATCCTATAGCTACTTGGGAGACTGAGATCAAGAGGATCGTGGTTCAAGGCCAGCCAGGGCAAATAGTTCGTGAGACCTCCATCTCCAGAATAACCATAGCAAAATAATCAGGTGCGGCTCAAGCAGTACAGCACTTTT